ATAATCAACATATATAAATATGTGAATTTGAATTTCTTGCATAATTTTTTTATCTATTACAGTAAAAATGCATAATTAAATATTTTAATTGTTTAGAAAAAAACAAAAATCTTTATTTTCCCAAAAATTAGTTAGACATTGCTATTAATTAATTATATCTATATGCTAAGTTAATAGAATTATAGGATTATTTAGAGAAATACTTACAGCTGCACTGTCTGCATTAATCAAGCTTTTAATGGTAAGTTGTGGTGGTTGTGGCAATTCCTGTTGCTGTTGCTGTTGCTGTGATGGTAATTGTTGCTGAACCATTTGTTGTTGTTGTGGCTGCTGCACTGTCTGTTGTTGTTGCTGTGACGGTAATTGTTGTTGTTGCGTCACTAGTGGTTGTAGTTGCTGTATTGTCTGCTGTTGCTGTTGCTGCTGCTGTGACGGTAGTTGCTGTGCTGCTTGTTGTTGTTGCGGTAGTTGTTGTTGTTGCTGCTGTTGCTGAGACGTTAGTTGTTGCGGTAGTTGCTGCTGCTGAGACGTTAGTTGTTGCGGTAGTTGTTGCTGCTGAGATGTTAGTTGTTGCTGCTGCTGAGATGTTTGTTGTTGCTGTAGCTGTTGATGTTGTTGCTGTAGCTGTTGGTGTTGTTGTTGTTGAAGTTGTTGGGGCTGTTGCTGGGGCTGCTGCTGAGTTGATTGTTGTTGCGGCTGTTGATGTTGCTGTGGTTGCTGTACACAAATAACGATATATTAAATAACATTTTGCAAACCGTAACTACTATAATAATCAGACAATTTTGAATTTAAAGTAGTAGAATTTTATTTTTAGACTATCTTATCAATTATGAGTAATTATTACCCACTGACTTGGAATCATTACCTACATTTCATACTATTATTTATTATTTTAAAATTTCAAGATAAACATAAAATTTAACACAAAACATAATAAAACAAGAAATATTTTTATATTTTTTACAATTAGTTTTTTTTTTTTTTGATATTGATTGCTATCTCTGTAAGTCTACCTACATAGGTATTAACAAATAAAATTGATTTTAACCCATTCGAGAGAGTTTCACTAAATCAAATAAGTGCAGTCTGCCTAATTTAAGTCGCGGAATAAACACTAAAAGTACTATTATGTTATAAATGAGATAATAGTTTTTAAATAATTCAATATTTTCAAGGAATAAATTTGAATGCATAGATTATGTAGGTATCAGTTAAAAATTAAGGTTTGAGAAGTTAAATAACCTATATAATTAAATATTAATTTATAATAATATGTAAAATCAGTGTTCAGAATGAAATTTAAAAATGTCTAATAATTTTCAAGGTATGGGAAATTTATTTGAGCCCAGTAACTCAAGGATACTAAAAGCTGTATTATTCAATGTGTCTTAAAAAATTTGTTGAAATAGCTAAGTTATTTGTTTAAGCATCTGTGCAGTACTAAAAAACCGTTCTTTACAATTGGTCTTGCACAATGACTTCATTCAGTAGGATCATTAATTCTGATTTCAATTAGTTTTTATGCTAACAAATACGAGATTCCACCTAATTATTCAATGAATAATAAAAAAAATAGTGGTGCTTGTTAAAGTATAAAAGTTCCAAAAATTAAATCATAATATTCAGAACAAAACTAAAGTTTTTTTTTTTTCAGGACAGCCGACATATTGATTAATTATGCTTTAAATCTTCAAATATTTTAACTAAAAAATGTTTGGTATCTTTTTGAATAGCAAAAATGATAAGAAGTTAAAATGTATTTCTGGTGGTTATAACTTAATAATCAAAATGATGTCAATGGTGGAGCTAGTTTAGTCTTAATTTTGGGAAAAACATGAGAGTATCAGACATACGTATGTATAAAAATTTTAATTTGTATGAAGATTGCTGTAAAACTGTAGAAGTCTAAAATATTAAATACCAACAGTATCAGCATACCAAATTTATGAGGCATAACTAGGGTTAACCCTTGAAACAAATTATCACCTCCTCTCATACAACAATATCATAGCTATGCCACCTAATTAAGTAATGATAGTCAATAAGTAGAATGATATAACTAGACAAGAATAAAGACAATTAGTTTGTATAATGTACTTATGTATAATTCGTTTTTTTTAAAGTTATATTGTGCACAATCACGACTAAAGCTAGTACTATCTTAAATAGTGTGTGTAACTAAGTAAGGAAAACTATAGCTCATGGTGTTAGAAATAATGGAATTAGTTAGATATGACAGAATTCTTACTTGTTGAAGTTGTTGTAGTAATTGTGGTTGCGGTAGCTGTTTTATTTGTTGTTGTTGGTGATGTTTTATTTGTTGCTGTTGTATTAATAGTTGTTTTTGTTGCATTTGTTGTAGTTGCTGCTGCTGGAGTTGGATTTGTTGTTGTTGAGTCGGTAGTTGTTGCTTCTGTTGTAGAGGTAATTGCTGTTGGAGTTGTTGTTGTTGCTGCTGCTGCTGTTGTTGTTGTTGTTGCTGCTGTTGTTGTTGCTGCTGCTGCTGTTGTTGTTGTTGTTGCTGCTGCTGTTGTTGTTGCTGCTGCTGTTGTTGTTGCTGCTGCTGTTGTTGTTGTTGCTGCTGCTGCTGCTGAAGTTGTTGTTGTTGTTGTTGCAGTTGTTGTAATTGTTGGAATTGGAGATGTTGCATTACAATATTTTGTTGGGTGGTAGTCACTACTGAAGGATTATTGAGCACAGCTATTGTTGACACTGGAGTGCTGTTAAGAGACGTGACAGTGGACACTGGCGCGTGACTTGCATGTACGATTGGAGACATGGACGGATTGATAAGTGGAGCGTTTGTCGATATAGTCGAACTGATGAGTGGTGCGACTTGTGGTACCAGTAGATTGTTGAGAGTTACTGACGTCGTGGGCGGTTTGTTATTGAGAACCGCTACTGACGGCGATGAAGGGTTTAAAATAGGTGCAACTGACGAAACGGGCAGATTGATGTTGGGTGTGATTCCCGTTGGCGTCATTTCAATGTTGGTAGTTTGAGCCTAAAATATATATATGAAGTATAAAATCACGATAGGTAATTGATACGCGAAAACCGTTGAGCATAATAATTATCGACAGTAACACTTACCACAAATTGTTCGATTTCATCATCCGTTTCCATAGGTGTCGCGTTCACATCGTTTTCCATGGCACCACTCGAATTCATCATTTTGCCGATGTGAACTGTATTTATTTATTTAATTGTCCGCTTCAGAGCGTTAAAAAGGATTTTTGACTTAAGTGTTTAAACTTTTAGAGAATCATAAATTAAAAAATTATAATGAAAAAATGAAATTACATGAGTATTTATTATTTAACATTTACTATTTATATGATAAAATTTATGTCAGAATGTCATATATTATTATAATATAATGTTTTTATTATTTACGACAAAATATTGATAACAAAAGTACGAAAAGTAGAATCACTATTATAGAATCGCAGTGGAATTATTGTCGTCAGTCGTCGGGTAGGGTCGTGGAGGTAGAAAACGCAGTATTTGTATTTCGTACAACACGGACTTCGATTGAGCAGGAATGTTTATGATAAGGCAAGTGATAACTTCAGATGATTGTTATTATTTATTATACAGTTCTCCTAGCCGTCTAGCACGTGTCTTTAAATATTCTCACTTGTGCGCTTTTTTTCATATCAATTACTTAGTACTTACCTAAGTATCAAAATCTAATTATCAACCGATTTATTCACGATGGTTTACAAAAAACGTAAAATAAAAGTTTTTAGACCGAAAAAAAAGAAGGAATCTATTGATGTCGTGATCGGTAAACTCAAGGAATCGTACGAACAGGTAACATATTTTGATTTTTTGATGACTACGGTTGGACGTTTTTCGACCCACCTAGTTTTCGTGCCCTACGAATTACGATATACAATATATTACGCGCTTTACAAAAGACTGTTCAGTGTACAATCATTTTTTCATCTACATTAATTGTTTCTGGTCTTTGACGCATTTGTGGACAGTAGGCAGTTTGTAAATGTTTATTTTTTTCAATTAATTTAAGGCCTAAACTGACATGTTTTTGTATTGCTTACTGTTCTTTATTTGACCATAGTGTGTACAGTTATGTTTGTAACATAACCACATACACAGGAGTAATTAGAAATTATTTATATTTGAAGGTAGATTGTGTAATAGTAGTAAATTTGCAGTTTTCAACTCAATAATATACTTATATATTATGTGATTTTTTTAAAATTACAAGTCTTCTGCTCTATTTATATACCTATGATATTACATTATCATATGATATAAAATATTATTTTTTTTTTATAGATTGATCCAAATGCTATTGAAAAATTTGAAGATTTTCCTTTGTCGGCACCAACACTAAAGGGTTTGAAAGAAAATAAATATTTTGTACCTACTGAAATACAACGTGAAAGCATTGGCTATAGCTTACGTGGTGAAGACATATTAGGTGCAGCTAAGACTGGCAGTGGTAAAACGCTAGCTTTTTTAATACCGGTTAGTAAACTATTAGAATCATTTAAGATTGTTGTATCATAATTGCTATATTTATCAGGTATTGGAAATATTGTATTGCAACAAATGGAATCGTACAGAAGGGTTAGCTGCTCTGATCATAACTCCTACAAGAGAATTAGCATATCAAATATTTGAAACATTGCGTAAAATTGGGATTTACCATGATTTTTCTGCTGGTTTAATTATTGGTAAGTATTATAATTTACATATTGATGATGTAGAAACAAACTAAAGTTAAATAACAAACAAAGATTTGATTTCAATGGTATTGTACGATGGTTAGCTTCTGTCATCAACATATTCTGAAATAAAGTATACTAGTTTCCGGATAAGTGACTATCTGGGTTTATAGTGACTAATCCTTACCTCGTATACAGGTATTCTAAAACAGTATCCTCCACCATAGTGAAAACCGACTACAGTTTTATAACCATTGCTGTTGAAGTCTAAAATCTATAAGTAAATTATGATAAAAAAGTACTCAGAAAAATATTCGGCCCAGTCTATAATATAGAAACAAGAACATATGAAAGAAGACATAATAATGACTTAAAAAGTTTATATGGAAGACCAAATATATTATCAGTTAGCAGAAGTAAGAGAATAGAATGGGCTGGACATGTTTGGAGGGCGGAAGGAAAAACTACAAAACAAGTTATAGAAGGAAGGATGTAGTAGGAAAAGACGTTAAAATGATTAATGAAATTGTAAAAATGGAAGATGCGAATGATAGGATCCGATGGAATGAGATATTTTTTTTTATAAAACTGTATTAAAGATAGCAGTATAAAGAAATATTTAATACTAGTTAATAGGATGACTTTATCTTATTATTTTAATTATTTATGTATGTATTTTTATTTAATTATCAATCTATAAATATAAAATATTACAAGTTGAATGCCAAAAACATGGGGTAAATGGCAAAATTGTTTTGAAAAAGACATTAAGAAAAAAAAAATTAAGCAAATCCTATAAATTTGGGAAAATAATATCAATTTTTTTTTTTTTATCTGAATTGAAACATTGTTTAAATAGTCTTTATATCATTTATATATTTGTGTCTATTGTATATAATATTTTAAACAAATTTTAATTATTTAATTTATTTATATGTAATTAAATAACTATTTCAAATGTTTTTTAGGTGGCAAAGATTTGAAATTTGAGCGCAAACGTTTAGACCAATGTAATATAATGATTTGCACACCAGGTCGTTTATTACAACATATGGATGAAAATCCATTGTTTGACTGCTCTAATATGTTGGTACTAGTTTTGGATGAAGCTGATCGATGTCTTGATATGGGTTTTCAGGAAACTATGAATAGTATTATAGAGAATTTGCCTCCTGAAAGGCAAACTCTTTTATTTTCTGCTACCCAAACCAAGTAGGCCCTCTTAACATAAATATATTTTTTAAGAAGTATAATATTATATTAGTTGTTACATACTAATAAATTATATTTTATTTTAGATCTGTAAAAGATTTGATAAGACTTAGTTTAACTAATCCTCATTCAATTTCTGTTCATGAAGAATCAGAGCACAGTACTCCATCAGGCTTAGTACAAAGTTACATGGTATGTGAATTACATGATAAAATGAGCCTGTTATGGTCTTTCATAAAAAATCATTTACATCATAAAGTGCTAGTGTTTATGTCAAGTTGTAAACAGGTAAGAATTTATATAATTCGGCCATTAATTATAGATATGTAATAAACATAAACTTATTATTTTAGGTTAAATATTTTTATGAAATATTATGTAAACTACGGCCTGGAACTAGTTTATTAGCACTATATGGTACAATGCATCAAACAAAACGTATGGCTGTGTATGAGTCGTTTAGTAGAAAACAACGCTCAGTTCTCTTTGCTACTGACATAGCTGCTCGTGGACTTGGTAAATAAATAATTTTTTTTTTAACTTAAATGCTTATAAAAACAATGTATATAATATAAATAAAGATATTTTTTAAATCAATTATGAATACAATATTTATTAAAAATAATAAATACTGTTTATAGATTAACTTGTTTATCAAAGTATTAAAAATTATAGATTTTTGTCACACGTTAATACATTAATAACAGATAATATATTATTTTCGTTGTCAATATTAATTATTTTAATTTTCAACATATTAAAATAAAATTTGCAATATATTTTCAATTTTGTAACATTTAATTTATTGGATTTGTGATTTATATATTTGAGACTATATTCACCTATCCTATTTATTATTTTTGGAAGTTACTCAAATAAAATATGCTCTTAAAGTATTCATTTAAGGTATTTATTAGATACAATTAAATTCATGCTGTTATTGATTATATAATACATTTTAAATTTAATTCAAGTATAAAATTATTTATGTATAGATATATAGTATATGTGATTGTAATGAATTATTTTTTATATTTTGTATAGATTTTCCTGCTGTTAATTGGGTTGTTCAGTTGGACTGTCCAGAAAATGCTAACGAGTATATTCATCGTGCTGGTAGGACGGCTAGATTTCAGAAATCTGGAGAATCGTTGCTTGTACTTTTACCTTCAGAATTAGCTATTTTAGAACAGTTGAAAACTAAAAAAATTCCAATTTCAGAAATAAAGTAGTTATACATAGTAATAAAAAAAATGTATTTTAACTATAACAAATATTTATTTACAGAGTTAATCCTAATAAATTGACTTCAATTCAACGGACATTGGAAGCTACTTTAGCAAAAGATCACATTTTAAAAGAATCAGCTCAGCGTGCTTTTGTTTCTTATATAAAATCTGTATTCTTAATGAAAGACAAAAGTGTATTTGATGTTTCAGCTTTAGATACAGATTCATTTGCTAGGTAAATAACAATTTTTTCCAAGTAAATATTTGATAGTTATATTTAATCTTAATGTCTTTTAAAGTTCATTAGGTTTAGCAATACCACCACGTGTAAGGTTTTTACAAAAATGGAAAAAAGCTAAAGAAGCCAAGAAAAAAGAAAAGGATGCAATTGCACAAACTGAAATTGAAAATCTCAATGAGAAATTGAACAAATCATCTGATTCTGAAATTTCAGACGACGAGCCTGAGCCGTTAAAATCATCTGTTAAAGATTCATATAATTTTCATGATGGTAATTAACGATTTTTTTTAAATTCCAAATTAGACAAATTTAGGTATTAACTATTCATAAAATTTTTGGTTTATTAGATGATAATAGTGATGAAGAAAATGATGATTTATTCACTGTAAAACGAAAAGATCATAATATATCAGAAACTGAAGATTTTGAAGACGAAGTAGAATTATCAACTGATATTTTGAATAAAAAGAAAAAAAAACCTTTAACTAAAGCAGCAGTAGCAAAAAAGATGATTAAAAAACAAATTAAACCCAATCAGAAAACTGTTTTTGATGAAACCGGAGAAGTAAGGTATTATAAATTTTTACTGAATGTAATAATTCATGCATGCATTTTTTTTAGGCTGTACTGGACAAGGCTAAAACAAAAGTCTCACAAATGGCTCGAGAATATGAGAATAATAGTGATAAGGGTGGTATTGATATAGAACAAGCCAAACAAATGTTGCGTGAAGAGGATGTATATGACAAACAACTGTTCCGAGAGAAAGTTAAAGCAAAACATAGGGAAGAAAAA